AGCTTTGCACAGCTGTACCATTTTGATCATATCTCCCTCCTTACAGATCCAAAATTGATGAGTCCAGATAGGATGGAAAGCTAAGACACAGTTCTACAATTTTAATGTTTTGAATTTTCCCAAAATCAAGCTTCTGGTATGTCAAAAATTATGTTGAACTCAAGTGATAGCTGCTGGACAGTAGCTGAGAAAAACGCTTGTTTGACTTTCAAAACTCAACTCTGAGCTTAAGGCTAATTCAATCATTCTCTAATCTTGAAGGACAATTAGCTGTTCTTAGTGGATGTTTTTTTTTATGATTCTAAAGAGATCTATTTATAAATGCCCTCTTCAGTAGCATGCCTTTGAGTCCGAAAGGACTGCTGTATTTGACTTCATTATTGAGAACATAAAAAATGCTCTTAAGGTAATTAGTTCACACTGAGCTAGTTATGTCTCTTTTAACATGCTTCTTTTTTCTTCTTTTAACATGCTTCTTTTTTCTTCTTTTAACATGCTTCTTTTTTCTCAGATAAGAGGGCATTACTATGCAGATGGAGTTCGAGTCAGTTAAGCAATTGAATATGTGGTTCTTTGAAATTGCATTACCTGGATAATTGCTTCCTTCAACAAAGAATGTCAAATGAAACCAAAACAACTTATAGTGGTTGATACTTATTCATTTCGTTTCGAAAATATGGTAAAGTTTGTATTTTGATCCTAACGTACATATTTTCAAGTGATTCACTATATTTAAATTTACGTTAGCAACAAAGGCTGCAAATGCAACATGTTAATGTTGAAATCTAAAGAAAGATCGTATCAATTTTGAATTGTAAGGTTTAACAGACAKAGTTTATATTGCCTTCAGAGTGAAGATAATACTTTTGACCAGGCGAAGCAACAATACCTCCTCTACTTGTGTTGTAGCCTGTATGGAAGGTAGAACCGTAGTTGTTGGAGCTTCACCGCTTTAGTGAACAAATCGAAGTCAAGAGATCACGACCAGTAGAAGGTAGAACCGTAGTTGTTGGAACTTGTGGAGTTGTGGTTTAGATGTTTGATTAAGACCTGCAGAAGTAGACAGTCATTAGAAAGTGTTGAAGTGTTAAACTCAGCGACATTAAAAAGTGTTGAACTCAGTTTGAAAACAGCAGCAAGACCAGAAACATCATGTTCCATGTATTTTGAGAGTTTAAATAGAAGTACAACATAAAACATTAATAAGACAACCTGATGTCATCTAAGTGACATTTCACAAAACGGTTTRAAATCAATAGTTATTGTAGTGTCCTGAAGAGGAAAGATTTACTGGTCCTTACCAATAGTATTTCGTAATGTTGGGGCATATGACTTTCCACGGTCAACAACAATGCAATACACGATTGAAAAGGTCATTAAACCCTCCACACACACACACACAAAGCTCCAACTTTAATTCTATTTCACCAGTAAGATGCAAACCCAGAAAGCATGCATAGGAATTATAAAAGATAAAGACAACAACACAAATCTATGGAATGGAGGTAGTACCGAATCAAATCTAGAACAGTAACTTTTCGATGAAAAATTCTATAATCCAAAAACAACCAACCAAATTAATGCGTGATTGACTGATTGTTACACAATGTACCAACCCAGATAGAACGATCCTAACAGAAAAGTTATAAGCTATTAAACAGTAATCGTTCAAAATAAGAACAATTCCAGAAGTCATTAATTTCGACACCCAAAGAAACATAAAAAAGATCAAATAAGAAACTTCGTACCTCAAAATCCGTATACTGATAGTAGCAAATTCTCGAACTGCAAACAGAGTCAACAGAAATCGAAATCTCTTATAATCTGTTTGAAGCGATAACCCAAATCGATCCTTATATTAGGGATGGCGAGAAAGTCGAATTGGGTTAGAGATAAGATAGAAATCGAAATCAAAATCTATCTCATAATCTGAAGCGATAACCCAAATCGATTTCATCAAAATATCTGGTCGGTCATGGGTTTGAAAATCGATTGGGATTGGGTTTGAAAATCGATTGGGATTGGGTTTGGGTTTAGATTAGGGAGGCGATAAAACGGGGAATTTGTTTTAGGGATGGGAAGGATTGGTTTTAAGGGACGTGGCTTTAATAGATTGTACTATATGCTTAAAATGTTGTTTTTAAGAGTTTAAGAGTTTTAAGAGTTTTTAAGAGTTTTAGCCAAATGCATTATAAGATAGTATAGATATATATATATATATATATATTTCAAAATTGTATGATATATTTAAACTTATGTTTTATTCAAAAATATCAACATTATCGTTTTTCTCAAAACCACTAGAAATCGTATTATATCGACAGAGATAACAATACAAAACATTAGAATTGAAATATATCTCGCTTATTTATGCGAGAACGCTTCTAATATCGTATTATATATATATATATATATATATATATTAAACTAAATTAGAAATATCTAATATCGTATTCTAACGCTTCTAATTCCCCACCCACACCAACCAACATCCCACCCCCTTTTGATTTTCCCACTCTCTTCCTGTATCGTTCCCAGTGAACCAATCACCTCCGGTTTGATTCCCCGGTGCCACCTCCCACATCGAGACCCACCTTTCGTCAGAATTCCCGGTGCCACCCCTTCATCTCTCTAACCTCCCTCCCAAATTAACCACCATCACCACCCTATGTCTTAGCCATCTCTGCATAGAACACACACACTACGCATAGAATACACATACATACACACACACACACTATGCATAGAATACACATACATACACACACACACACTACGCATACAACACAAACACATTGTACATTAAACACATACATGTAAACTATGGATACGACATACATACACATTGTGCATACACAACACACACACACACATGCAACACTCACATTGTGCACACATACACACATTATGCATATATATATATATATTTATTTATTTATACACACACATACACACACACTATTTTAGAAGGGGGATGGGTTACTAATTAACCAAACAAATTAAGATGACAGATTCATGGTGAAGATGAAAGGTGAAGGAGGCGGTGTTTGGGAGGTGAGGTGGTGTGTGTGTGATTATGTATGTGCATATATATATATATATATATGGGCGGTGCTAATGGCACCCCCTTAGTAAGGGGGTGTTGATT